ACTATGGGTTAGTGGTAAATTTCAATGGAATAAAAACTTCAACGAGAAAAAAGCACGAACAACAAAAAGTTGCGGAAGCCGTTGATGGATTGTTGCACTACATGGCACCATGAGTGGTGGCATTACAACAAAGTTACAACAAAAGAAAAAATTAATATGTAGTAAGTAAATAAACACATGTGCATTTGTGTCTGTCTGGCTGTCTCTCCGTACTTATAAGTACTTATGAATATGCAGCACACGGTTGTACTTTCGGTGGCCAAGCAGCGCGACATTTGATGGTTGCGCTTTTCTTTGTTGCTGTGCGCTGCTTCGGCTTCGTGACTCTTTTGACGCTTTGTTTGTATGTCACTGTGCACTCGCTTACATGCGTTATGTTCATCTGACTTTTGACTCTGTGCCTTTCCAATGCTTCACAGTCAACGTAGGCTCAAATTTTTTAGGTGCACAGGTTTCTATATATACATACATCTATAGTATATGTACACATACGTAAGTATTAACTATGTAAGCGCACTTAATGCTCTTGCATTTGCTTTGGCCACAAGTCAGCCGATGCCAACAAATGTCAACAGTTTGTCAAATATTTTACCTACTTTTTGTTCATCACTTGTTGTTGTTATTTTACCATTGTTTTATTTTTGTATACGCTCCGCTCCCAGCCTTGACCTAGCGTACTACTTTTGGTGCTACTCGAAATTGAAAAAAAAGCAATTGGTGGGAAAATTAAAAAAAAAAAAATGTGAAAAGAAGGTGCAGTACGAAAGCTGGCAGTGTCACGTGCAAGTCACCACCTACACACGCAAACATATTTACATGCATTTACACACACTTCCATATGTATGACTGTATGTATACGTATACGTAGTTTGTATAATATGTTTTTGCTACTTGCATTTGAAATAAATTTGAGTGGCCCTTTAAGCTTGCTACGGCTACCGGAATGTAGCGGCGGGTGCCTTTCTACTTAATTTTCTATTGGCGTGGGAAAAGCGAGCTTTCAGGTACAACGTGGATATTAAAGTGATACTCGTATAAATAAAATTGAATGTGCGTTTTTCTGAAACCGTACCGAGTATATCCTTTTATAATAAAACCAAAGAAAAACGTATGCACTTTCGGCTTATTATTTTTTATGAACACAAAAAAGTAAAATTAGAATTTAAATGTACTTTGTCACTAGCAATAGCCCGAAAATTCAAAAAAAAATTCCAAATAAGTCCCAAAAAAATTGGGAACGATCGTAAAAAAATTTCGAGAAGACCCGAAAAAAGCCCCGGAACGTGTGAAAAAAGCAAAACACAAATAATCCCAATAAAAATGCTGAAAAAATCTTAATAGTTCTCGAAGAAATCCTGACAAAAATTTCTAAAAGCAAAAAACGAAAAAATCCGGAACAATCTCGAAAAATCTCGATAATACCTGGAAAAATTCCCAAAAAACCTGTCACATAAAAAAGATGATAAGGACGACAGATCACAAAAAGACAGAAAAATCCTGAAAAGTTACGGAAAAAAATCCGAAAGATTTCGAAAAATTTGACAAGAAAGATACCAAAAAATCCAAAAAAATCCGAAAAATAAAAGGCAAAGAGTACTAAAAAAAAGCTCAAAAAATATCAAAGCGATTCCCACGAAATTCTTGGATAAAACTGAGAACTCAAACAAGAAGAAAGTTCCGAAATAATTCTGAAAAAAACATGAATAGTCGGAATTTTCGGCTTTTATTTTTTAGGCACTCAAAAAGTAAAATTAATACTTAAGTGTGCTTTTGAACATATGTAAAATATGAAGAAAAATCGTGAAAGTTCCAAGCAAAAACAAAACACCAAATATCACGACAAATAACAGAAAATGCTCAAAATTTCCGAAATATCTCGGAAATTTCCGAAAGATCCAGAGAAATGAAACGAGAGATCGCAAAGAACTACACTAAAACTTTTGAAGGGTCCCGAAAAAGTTTTGAAAGAATTCGAAAAATTACACAAGAAATTCTATGTTATTGTGGCTTATTAACATTTTATTTTTAATATTCTTTTATTGAGCTTTGTACCAAGATTGTTTATTAGGAAAAATTGAGTTAATTTTTTTAGTCATAAGGAAATCATATTCTATAATAGCACTTTTTCAATTACGTCATCTTAATTTCAAAATCTATAAATACGAGGGGAGTTTGATAAATCATGAGACTTTGAATTTCACGCATACTAATTTTAAGTGCAACCCTGCTCTTCTCCACTACCATTTGAATATACTACTATCAATATTTGTGTAATCTAAAAGTACCGCTATCGGTTGCTGTGGCTGAGTGGTTAGAGGAGCAAACCTCCGTAGGACCTGGATTCGATCCAATTTGTGGCTGAAAACTGCAAAGCTTCTGGGGATGATGTCCTGCTATCTGAGCTATTCATGGAGCAGAAAAGAGTTGATAAGGTGAATGCATAAATTCTTATGCAGAATATGGTTAGATGGACGCATTCCTGACGTCCAGAATTTAATCATGCTTTATCCAGTCCTCAAGAAAGGCGTCGCGCCAACTACCGTGGGATCAGCCTTCTAAGCATAAGTTGCAAGGTCTTACCGAGCGTATTGTGCGAAAGACTGAACCCCACCGTAAACGAACTGATTTGGCTTTATCAGTGTGGCTTCAGACCAGGAAAATTCATAACTCAGCATCTGTTTTTCTCTTTCTGCCTATAGCAAAATAATATACGACTTTATATCTGATTATGGTATCCCGAGAAACTAATACGGCTGTGTAAAATGACATTGAGCAATACCATCAGCACCGTCATAATTGGGAATGACCTTTCCCAGGTGCTCGACCACATACGATGATTTTCTATGTCCCGACGTATTTTATCTGATACTGAAGAAGTAAAGTTTTTTTCACGCCACCTTGTAATTCATGGCGCAAAAACATGGCATGGCGCTGGTGTTGGAGGAGAAAGAAACTGGCCTCTTCAACTTTCGAAAGCTCAGGTGGAAAAGTAGTTTACTAAGTAGTTTACTAACTTAGCTAAAATCGCTTAAGCCTTTATAAGGTTAATAAAGAGAAGAGAATTCATCTATTTTTAAGCGTCTCATTCTTCGCAAAAAATTCTTGGCGTAATTTTTTTGATCAAAAGTAATAGGAATTTTTTTATTTAATTTTTCTTGTCTGTCGGAGCTCGGCACCATCACCATTACCATAGTTATCATTGCCATTGTTATTATCATTACCTTTACCATTACTATTGCCATTACCATTTCCATTACCATAACCATTACAATTATCAATTCCATTACTATTGTCATTACCATCACTCTTACCATTACCGTTTCCATTGTCTCTGCCGTTACCATTAGCATTGCAATTACCATTACGATTGTCGTTACTATTGCCATTACCATAACCTTTACCGTTACCATTACAATTAACATTATCATCACCATTACCAAATTGAGAGCCATTATTAATATAATTATCATTAACATTGCCATTACTTTTACCATTACTATTATCATTATCTTTACCATTACCATTACTTTCAGATTCCAGTACTTTAGCTATTACCATTCCCATTAACATAACCATTAATATTGGCATTAGCATTACTATTGTCATTACCATCACCCATACCATTACCGTTTCCACTGCTGTTACCATTATCATTGCAATTACCATTACGATTGCTGTTACCATTCCCATTACTCTTACCATTATCATTATCTTTACCATTACCATTAACATTACCATTAAAATTAAAATTACCGTGAGTATTAACAAATTTAGAGCCATTTAAAAAAAATACGGGATTTATTACAGTCTTTGTATTTAAAATTACGTAAAGATATTGGCATGTTGTTGTATTAGTTTTCTAGACAAAGTAGACAATCTTATTTCACATTTATGTTGCCAGACAATATGATCTAAGACTCCTAATTTTGTAACATAAAACAAAGCTCCAATTTAAGGTCTTATCTTTGTAAAAATTTAACATAAATCTTCACTAATGTCGACGCTGGTTACTAGTTCAAACCAAAATACAAACCGATTTATTTGCTACCTAGCACTTGATTATAAAAAAAAAAATATATATATGTATTTACAAAACTTTTGTTGTTACAGCTTGATTAATAAATGAGTTGATACTCATCTAATTTAAATATAATTTTTTTTCATAAGCTACTTATGTATGAGCCATTAAGTTCGCTGCTTAAGTCTTTTGAATATCCATATGAGTCAATAAAACACATGTTTCCTTTGGCTGGGTTATAAATTTCAACACAAACTTTCAGAATACTAAATCAATAGGTATTCTTTTCTTTTTTCAGCATAACCATACACCCACTTTCAATTTCTCCGCCAAAATGTGCAGTGAATGATAAAATAATTTCACAGCGCCGAAAGTGAAACCACCAATAAATATTAACGAAATGCGCAGAGCATGAATGTCACTAATTTACGATTACATTACAGTACAGTAGGGGAGAAGGAGGAGAAGGCAAAAAAAAACAAGTTAAAAGCAAACAGATTTTCTAAAATGAGATGTTGAGCTCAGCACCAAATAAATTGCAATACTAATCGTTTTTCTACAAGTGCTTGTTAGAGTATATATTACAACAAAAAGTGTACAATAACAGCAATCGTAAGACATGTCAATGAGGCTATGACAAATTGATTGCGCTTTGCTGGTACTTCAACTCAATGGGAATTGTAGAAAATAACATTAAAAGTGAAAATAGCCGTTGAGTGTGCAAATAAATAAATAAATTAGAGGTGAAAAGGAGACAAGTGAAAATACAAATATATTTTTTTTTAGGGGAGGGAAAAAGTTGTCAAAGTAAGTTAAAATAAGAAAGCAAATGAAGACATAAAACTAGAAACCAAATCAAAACAAACAAATAAGCTAATCGAAAATGCGCATCCATCCGGCAAAACCCTTAATTAGCTATTCCGCTCAGCAAATGTAAGCTTGATGACTGCTTTGCTAAGCGTTGCTGAGTTGAAGTGCATGCTTAGTCGAGTGGTGGCGGTGGCGGTGGCGTTGGCGGCGGCGGCGGTTGCGGCGAATAAATAGCACTTTGCTTACTTGTTTGGCTGTTGTGTTCAGTTTCACCAGCAGCGGCGGCAAATTCTTTTACGATTATTTTTCACAACTCAATGCTTATTTATTGCCATTGAATTTGAGGTGACATGGCGAACGAGAAGGAGAAGAAGAAGCAGGTAGAGCCGCACTGCAGCAAAGAAAGGTGTAAGAGTTTGCGGCTACTAAGCAGCTGAGTCCCAACGCCTAAACATGCGCTTATTCTCACTAATTTCGCATTAAAATGCCGTTGGCGGCGGCGATTGCGTTGTGTTGCCAATGGATAAAGAAAGTCTGCAATAGCAATAACAACAATTAAATGGGAACAACAACTTTGACAGCAAGCATTAGTGCATTGGGTTTCTTTGTTGATCAGCAACAAAGTTGAGTGACTCAATGCGATTTTTGGCGCTGTTCGTATGCTTATGGACTTACGAACTTTTGTACTTATACAATGACTTAATTTCATACTTACAGACTTATGTAAGTACTTATGTACCTACATATCTATGATTTAAAGTACTTAAGTACTTAGCAAATACATACTTAAATACTTAAGCACTTACATATTTACATACATATTTATGATTTTGAGTACTTAAGTACCCTAACACTTACTTACTTACATACTTAAGTACTTACGTATTTACATACCTTTGTAATTTGAAATACTTTAGTATTGTAAAACTTAAAAGGGATGACGGAAATTCGTTCCAAACTAAGTCATGTTATCACTCAATCAGAAAGTTCAACCAAATACTTAAGCCCTTTAGTACTTAATACTTAAGTACTTAAATATGATATAACTGAAAACTCAAATAATTGACTAATTTAATGCTTAAGTACATGAATACTTCCATACTTACAACCTTTCTCACATGCTTAAATAGTTATATACTTATACACTCAGTTGCAATCTTATTAAACATTTCACAGATTAAATAATTAAAACTTAAACACCCAAGTAACTACATATTAAAGTATCTAACTACTTAAGTACTCTAAAACTTAAGTACTTAAATACTTATGTACCGAGATATAAAAAGTCTAAAAACTTAAATATTTAAATACTTTAATACTTACTCAAAGAAACAATTAAATACTTAAGTACTTGCATACTTACCGAAATACTTATATACTTCCAAAACCTACTTACTTACATACATACAATTATCTTATCTTAAACACGTTTTTAAATTGTAGGCGTCTGCGCTTAAACGCTTAAAATGCGTTGCGTGTCGGCCGCTTAGAAGAAATCAAAAATCGAACAACCAAACAAGCAGCAGTACCAACAACAATAATCAGTAAACAAAAGCGTCAATCGTTTGTTAACTAACTCATTAACATTTGCTTGCAAGAATTACAAATCGCCGTCTTTTCACTCACCTATACACTTTCTTTATTTCACTCAAGCAATGCATCGCTCACTCTTCTCTTCCCGCTCAACTTCACTGCACCCATCATCATCTTCGCAAAAATTTCTCTGCGATCGTTGTAACTGCAATGCTTTCTTCCTTTTCTTCTTTTTCTTCTTTTTCGCTGCTGTCTTCTTTCCACGAAAAAGTTGACCTCGACCGCTGTTGCTGTCGTAGCCGCTGCTTAATGTTGGCTTTGTGGGCGCTTCTTGAGTTTTGTTGCTGTTGTTGTTTTTACTATTGACATTGATACGCCTTGACCGTTGTCGGCATTACTTGGGCGTGCATTAAGTTGATTGTGTTGGAAATTGCACTTTCGCATAATACGCAGTTGTTAATATGGCTTTTCAATGCACGCTGACAGTGAGTGATTGATAGCCGCGTGAGGAATATTTTTTAATTTTCTTATTTCTTTTCTCTCGAATTTTAAATCATTAAATAAATAATATATTAATTTATATAATTCTCCATTTAATCCGGCTCCCTTTCAACTATAATTTGATAACTATGCAAGTTAGGGGTAGAGACTTTTCATAAAAAAGTTTCGTCAGTGGCTTTATGAATGTGATAGCGGCTTGCAAGAGCATCCACTTATACCATCAAATTCCGGCAAATATATACGCTGCCGGCAAAAAGTATTAGCACAGCAAATTTTTCGCAATATATGCAACAATTTGTTTTTCTAATATTTTTTCGCCAATTTTTTGTAACCATGTGGTTCATTCTACACCAAAAACAATAAAATATAATTCCTAAACTTTGTGCAAAACTCACGAAAATTCAGCAAATTTGCATGCAATTTTAAACGTTTTAATCAGATTTTTAAGGATGAGCATGCAGATTTGTAGGCCAATCAATTTTATTATAATAAAGTACAACTTTTAAGTAGCTAGGAATTATCGTTGACTTTTGACAATTTTTTTTTCACGCAGTCTCTCCCATACAAACAAAATTTTTTCGAAAATACTTTATATGGAAAAAATGCAAAACACCTTCAACAAAAAAATTCTCTGAAAAACTACATACTCAAAAAAATTCTAAAAAATCTGAAAATTCGCATGAAAGTTTCCTGAATTTTCACGAGTTTTGCACACAGTTTAGGAATTATATTTTTATGCTACGTTGTAGAATGAACCATATTTTTATACACAATTGGCTTAAAACTAATAGAATAAAAATTGTTGCATATAAGTATTGTGAAAAATCTGCTGTGCCAATACTTTGTTCCGGCAGTGTAAGTCCTATTTTTAAATTAATCGCACAATTATGTCCAGTTTGTACGTGAGCAAGAAATAAATTCAATTTTAAAATTACCAAAAATGTATGTCGGGATTTTTAATGATCATAAATTTATGTTCATATCTTCAATTACCATAAAATAAATTGTACCCATTTTTTGAAAGAACAAGAAATGTATGCCCGGTTTTAAAGTAACCAAAATTTATGTTCAGTTTGCAAATTACCAAAAATATATGTCTAATTTTTCAATTATGTCCAGTTTGTATGTAACAAGCATTAAATTCAGTTTCACAAAACAACAATTTATGTCCAGTTTTTAAGATTCCCATAAATTTATGTCCAGTTTTTAAATAACCAATAAACTGTTTTCAGTTTTCAAATAAAACCCATTTTTTCCGTTGAAGATCGCCAGATATGTTAGTCCAGTTTTGGAATGACCAAATATTTATGACCACTAGCTTAACGATAAAGAATTTAGTTATGGTATTAAAATTTCTAAAAAATATATAATCAGTTTTTAATGAACAACAAGTAAGAAAGTCTAAGTTCGGCCGGAGCCGAACATTAAATACCCGGCGCAAATATTAAATGTACGATTTTCATCTTTCCGAAACTTTCGAGATGGTAAGCCGGGGTGTATCAATTTTGAGTAAATTAGCTTCCTTAATATTGAAATATTGAAGTTTCAAGCATTTCTCAGATTTACCGTTATATGAAAAGCGGCCGTAATTTTAGTCCGATTTCAATAATTTTCAACATTTTGCTTTTATGTGGAAAGCACAATAACCATACCGAGTTTGGTTCAATTTTGTTGAACGGTTACTGAGATACATATACGTGATCATAAGTGGGCAGTGCCACGCCCCTTTTCCAAAATTGTATCATAAACGTATTTCTTGTTGCAAACATCAAATTTTTTTTGTTGTTGCAAGCATCAATTTTGAATAAATTAGCTTTAATATTTACTGATTTATCGAAGATTTTGTATTTCTCTAAATTACCGTTATATGGAATGTAAGCGTGGTTATTGTCCGATTTTAAAAATTTTCGGCCATTTGGTATGCTGTACCAAGACCAATAACTGTGCCAAGTTTGGAAGAAATTGGTACAGCGGTTACCAAGGTATACACATGTAACCATAAGGGGGCGTGGCTACGCCTATTTTCTAAAAATGTATAATATTCTTATTTTTCGCCTGAAAATTATTGTAAATATCAATTTTGAGTGAATTATCTTCAGTAGCTACTAAAATATCGCAGTTTTCGTATTTCTGGAAATTACCGTTACATGGGAAGTGGGCGTGGTTACAGTCCGATTTCGCCCATTTTCAATACCAACCTACCTTGGATAAATGGAAACCTACGTACCAAAGTTCGTTGAGATATCTCAATTTTTGCTCGAGTTATCGTGTACACGGACGGACAGACGGACGGACAGACAGACATGGCTTAATCGACTTCTCTATTCATTCTGAGCATTTATGTATACATTTGTCTATATCTATCTCGATTCGTTTTGGCTGTTACAAACAACCGTTATGTGAACAAAATTAATATACCCTTGTGCACAAGTGCGCTCGGGTATAAAAATTTATGCTCGGTTACCGAATGACCAGAAATTTCTATCCACTTTACAAATTACCAAAAATGTGCCCAATTTTAAATTAAACAAAAATTCATGCTTAACTTTTAAATGAACAGAAAAGTATGTCCAGTTTTTAAATAATCGAAAATATATGCTCAATTATTGAATGACCAAGAATTTATGACCGGTTTTATAATTATGGAAAAACTATATAAAAAATGAACAGTAAAATGGTGCCTAGTTTAAAACCAGATAGTATTCTAAATGTCTTTGCGTACATATATCCAACTTCTTGTTTACTAAAAGTATATGTCCAGTTTTTACGTTGAAACATACTTTTCTTAGTCAAAAGCAATGCAAACTTCTATTCGGCGTAGCTCAATCTTGTTGCATCAATATATGTATGTACGAATACGTTAATCTTAGAGACATAACCTAAGCTTGACGGTGCGTCATATTTATGATAAAACGTGAGCGGAGGTTTCTCGATAAGATTTTCGTTCTCATCAGGGCACTAGTCCCATTCCAGCGCTTGAAAAACCACTGTAACTTATTAAGATGGCAACGCTTCTGGAGAGTTTTAACAGAGTGTAACCGGTGAAACACAATGCCGGGGAACGGCGAATGTTTGCTTATGTATATGAGAACGCGCAAAACCAAAGCAAACGACGAAGTTCGCCCGACGACTGTTAGCGACGATAGACTTATTACTATTGTCGTCGCTGATGGCAGCGGCAAAATATGATCCACTGTGGTCATATGCTAAATATTCTCAGGTTTTTAAAACGAAATTGAAAAAGACTGTATTCACTTTTGTTAATAAATAATAATCTTGTCGTTTGTAAAAATTTAAATTGTACCTTGTCATAAGCAGCTGATTTCATTACCAGCGTAGTTGTGTTTTACGGAGCGAAATTTTTGGGCGAAAGTTGTTGACGTCGCCGCTCTACTGGGCGAAAATTCGCCGTTCGTCGGTATTGTGTTTCAACGGAAAGACCGAGTCAACGCAATGAGCGGCCGAGCGGAATTTCTGGGTGGCTGAACAGCGCCGCTCAGCCGCTCAAAAATGCCGCTCATTGCGTGTAGTCTAGAGTCTTTTGAATCGTTATGTGAATAAGGTATTTGCGTGTGTGGGGAGTTCAGCCCCCGATCACCAATCCTGAGTACTGCAGGCTGCAAAGTCTAAGCGAAGCCGTTCAAGGAATTACAATAAATGGCGGGAACACTTGAAACGTATACCAAATTACTCATGGCACCTTCGGTAAAGTAATGGTTTTGGCTTAAGACTCAATTGAGGATAGCGTTGGCTGGTGTCCACTCGATGTGGAGCATTCTGGCAACCACGTGCCGAATGCTTATGTTTTATATAGGCATCGAGCCCTACCATGGTAGTGTGTACCTGTCCATTTCGCATTACCTATTACGAGTGTACATTAGGGTGGTCCAAATACAGTGATGCCGGAATTTTAATGCTCTCACCCCCTAGGATTATTCTATGTCGAAAAAATGTACCCCTATTTTTTTATTTTAGCAAGTGTCATCGTAAAATAAGTCAAATGCTGTGATCTATCATTCCAAACCATATCCTTCCACATACAGATGTACAGATGAATTAAAAAAAATGTTGGTTAAACTCCCAAGAGTCGGTTTGTTGGCTTTTTACTTTAAAATATACATACATATACAAAATTTTAGTAAAACATTAAATTAGAGCCTTTGCTATGCATAAAGAAATATAGTAAATGTATGAACATATAGGGAAGTAGATCTGATAATATGCCTAATCGACTCATCAATAGGTATGCATTTGATTTTTAAATTGACTTTAACTTTTTTTATATAAAATAATACTTTATTAAAATCTACTTTTCAAGAAACTAAAAAAATCGTAATTTCTTATCTTTCAGCATTTATGAAATACCAGCGCCAAAAAAACTTGAAAGCATTTAAACTGAATTTCATTAACAACAACAATTTCTAGTACGAAAATCAGAAGTAAAACATAAATATTTTAATTAGTGGAGATAAGAAGCAAGCCAACAAAAGAGACACTCGTTCGAGTAGGAGTAAATTAAAATAATTTCTTAAACAAAAAAACAACAATCAAAACAACGAAGGCTCAGTCAAAACACAGCAACACAAGAGTTTGACACGCTCAACGGTTGCCATCAGCAGCAGCAGCAGCTTTTTTTTTAACCAAGCAGCGGAACAAACGGAAATCAACTAAAATATAGACAACAACAACAGGTGGGTGCTAATCTTTTATACATATTGATAGCTATTAATAATGAGAAACAAACAGATTTTTTATTAATGAAAAGACTGATTAATTGCGAGCAATCAGATTAAAGCCTTAGATGGTCATGGCACGTTAAAAGATTATTAATATTTCCGATTAACTTAAATGGCATTAAATTCAATCTACATACATATGTACATATATGTACATAAATATGCATGTAAGAATATACTTTTGTTACAACTCGGAAGCTAGTTCCGACTGTGAGAAAATATAAAAATATTTTTGAAATTAATTATCTGAATAATCCGCTATGAGAGGGATCATTAAATCTAATAATCATAAATATTAGTATTGATCTTGAATCCCCAACAATGCACGTATGCTAAACGGCAAAAAATTTGGCTTCTCAATTCTTAACAACATTGACACATAGTATAAAGGAATACTAAAGCGATTAATTTGTTTGAGCTTTACAAGTATTTTGGTTAGTTGAATAAGTTAATCTGTAATAATTTTTGAGTATTAAAAACAGAGAGCATTAAAACTGCACATTATTTTGTAACAATAAAGAGATCGTAATTGTAGACTAAGCATTATATTTTGGACATTTAAAAACTGGACACAATTTTCTGGTCATTTAAAAGACCAACATTAACAAATTGAACATACATTTGGTTGTCATTTGAAAACTGGTCATATCTATATACATTTGCTCCTATCTAATAACTGTACATACAGTTGTAGTCAATAAGGTAGTCGCAAAATTCAAAATGGTGTTGTTTCAACTTGTGCTTATTTATTTATTTTTTAAAATTTTAATTTAATTGAATAAAAGTTTCAAAGCTTCCACAAAGTTCACAAAAATTAATCAAACTTAAAAAAAAATTGCATCAAAATTTCAAACATTTAATTCAGTATGTTTAGAAAATTTTCGAGTATGCAGTTTTGTCGCTCATTCAATTTTAGTGCAATAAAGTGCAAGTTTCGAGTCCCTAAAAATTACCTTTGACTTTTAAGATTTTTTTTCGAGGATGTTGAGTATTTTCTTCCATATAACGTATGAACAAAATCTATTTTCATATGGAAGAAAATGTATGTACGTTTTAAACAGTTTTATAGCTGCGCATAATTTTTTTACCATTTAAAAATTGTGCATAAATTTTCGCCCATCTAAAACCTGATGTGATGATTCAAAGAGTGGACATAATATCTTTATGCTAAAACAACTGGCCAACAATTTTCGCTCTTCTAAAAACTGTGCACAAAATTTTAATATTTTCAAAAACTGCATATAAATTTTCGCCCAGCTGAAAGCAAACCCTAATTTTTTGGTAATTCAAAAATTGGTCATAAATGTTTGCTCATAAATTTTAAGTCATTTAAGATAACTGCAATTGAATGGCCGCCTCAAATAACGTTGTAAGCGATAATTGGTTCAAAGCTAGTTTACTTGCTTTTAAAGATATAAATGTGTATATTTTATTTTTTTTTAAGGCAAGATTCTTGAAGAGTGCTATACCAAAAAAGTAGAAAACCAAATCAAATCCTCGTTTGCGCGTCAGGAAACAAGTGTTTTTTTCTAAATATTTTGTAAAATTATAATTTTGTCGCTTACAACGTTATTTGAGGCGACCATTCAATTATTAAATTTTTTATAATTTTTAGTCATTTAAAAATCGAACATGAATTATTGATAATGTAAAAATTTGACATATTTTTTACCTCTAAAAAATTTAAGAAAAATCTTTGATATTTGAAAAATTAAAAGAAACAAATTTTAGTGATATAATAACTGGAAATAAGTCAAAACCAAATCTTTGTTAATTCGATACGAATTTAAAAACTGGACATAAATTTTTATAATTCAAATACCCACATTTATGTTCAAAAGTATATGTCCTTAAGAACTGGACATAAATTTGCCTACTTTAAAATTGGACAAAAATTTAGGTATTTGAGTTATCAAAGTTCTTATATTACTAAAATTTTGGTCTCATTTTAATTCTTCAATCCTACTATCAAATAGCCACAGATTTATATCCAGTTCTCAAATTATTAAAATATTTAGTTAATTTTTTAAATAACCAAACAGATATGTATGTTCAGTTTTTAAAGTACCAAAAAAAAAAAAATTATATTATTGAATGGCCAAAAATCGATCTCTGATTTTTAAATGAGAAAAATTTATGTCCGGGTGTTAAGTAACCTATGAATTATTCGGCCTCTGTGGTGTAGTACCACTACACTTCCACTCCGCAACGCCAGGGTTCAAACCCTGGTCAAAGCAACACCGAAAAAAGTATAGAAAAAGGTTTTTTCTTAACAGCGGTCGTCCCTCGGCAGGCAATGGCCAACCTCCGAGGGTATTTCTGCCATGAAAAACAGCTTCTCATAAAAATACAATCGCCGTTCGGAATCGGCGTAAAGATGTAGGTCCCTCCGCTCTGTGTTCCAACATCAAGGCGCACGCCACAAATCGGAGGAGAAGCTCGGCCAAACACTAACATATGTGTAAGCGCCAATCTTTTATTATTATTATGAATTATTAGCAGCCTTTAAATTACCGAAAATTTATAATAAAAAATATAAGCCGACAGACTTTTTTTCTGTACAGTTTTCAATGTTCTCTATTCGTTTTTTTTTTTTAATTTGTGGTCCTGGCATATTCTTTAATTGGATTAGTTAATAATTTGGCTTCGAAACCCCATATTTTTATCGGTATAAGTAATTGAATCACTTCTTGTTTTTTTTTTACCATAGTCTCAAACCACTAGTTACAAATACACAGGCTTCATTCACACTATGTATGTTTGTGCATAACGGCCATTTACCAAACGACTGTCACAACTAAAAAGTGAGATTTTTTAAGAGAAACGCTTACAGTTGTAGAAAAAAGAGATACATATTTCGGGGATTCACAACGGTTTCGTAAGTGTCGTATTGTTGTATGTCGTAAACTTTAAAAGCATAAATAAATGTTTAGAGAACTAGAAACCATAACCAACTATTTTTTAACACTGCGAAAATTCAAAATATGACTTTGATGGTACTTTGCGAGCCCCCTTTATATATTTTTTATATATTTTTTAGGCGTTTAAAGTTTACGACATACAACAATACGACACTTACGACACCGTTGTGAATACCCCAATTGTCTTTTTACGCGGAACCTACATAAGACTTTCGCACAAAATTTGTACACAAAATAAATTACGATTTAACGGTTCATTATCTACTCAAAAATTACGTTTTTTGAGTTATGACAGTCTTTTAGTAATCGAGCGATATGTACAACCAATATAAAGATAATTAATTTTATTATAAATCAATGGCATTGACCTTGCTTTGCGATTTTTTCTTCTTTCTGTTTTATCTCTAGAAAAAAATAAATAACTTTGACCACAACTCCACCTTGAACCTGACACCTTAATTGATTCTATTTGCAAGGAATTTCTTTATTGTTTTATTATTTTATTTTTTTATTTCTTTTTCTTTTTGTAAGTATAAGTGAACTGCTAAAACAAATAAATATTTTATAAGCACAAATAGCCGGCAGTTATATTTTTAAGTACTCCATGTAAACACCGGCATAAATCATGTAAGCGGCACTTTTGCGCTGCTCGCGAAAATTACTAAGCAGGGTGACATACAATTGATTACCCAAAGGAATGGTTGGATGAAAATAAAGTCTGGCGTATATTTCTGTATTTGTACGTTTTTGAAGGTAGTGAAATGATATAAGATCAGCGGGAGAGTGAATTTAAGTGTAAGTAAATCCATACATACATATTTACATATGTACCCTGCAAACCATTTTTTCCGAGTATTCTGAATTGTAGAGAAATTTTAAGAAATTCGTAAAGATCTCATCCGATTTTTTGCCGAGTTTTCTAAAATGGAAAAAACTGTGCACACTTCGATTCTTTTATGAAATTTCGAAAGAAAATCGGTAAAGAAATGAAAATAATGTTGCTATGTGAAGAATTTCTTGCAGAAGTTTTTCAGAGTTTTCTTTATTTTTCGTACAGAAATATCTTTGCGAGTTCGTGTCAACCACTTCATATAATTTTCCTTGAAGATTCGTAAAAAAATCGTTACAGAAATGATCTCGTTAAGATTTCGAGAACTTTAGTTTGCAGGGTATGTATGTATAAAGAAAAACCGAAATTTCTACATTTTTACACTGGGTACCAAAAAAAAAATAACGCTTGAATCTAAAAACAATCAAATTCAAAAATCTTCATGGTAGAGAAGTATTAGAGGAAGCTTTTAACGTTTCTTAAAACTTAAATGAACTTTTGTACCTAACTGGACTTCTTGGTCTT